CGGTAAAAACCGACCAGTGTCTTCATAACTTCCACGAAAAGTTTTTATTTGATGATCACAAATAATACAATGAGATTTGGGAATTTTATTTACACACACATCGAATAATGTATATAGCATTTTATTTGAAATGTTTTGAAGCTATTTTCTTGTGGCATTTTAAATTAATTACTATTTAACTGGGAATAAGCCACAATTAAAGATAAAAATACGTTTATTGACGTTTCAATTTCCACTTCGGAAATCGTTCTCAAAACAGTTGTGAAATGTTTTATTAAATATTATCAAAAAACTCGTCAAATTCAAATTATATCAAGCAGAGATTTTTTTTAATATAAAGTACTAATTACGATAACGAAAAATAAGTTTATACTTTATTTTGATTTAGAGTGAAAATATATAAAGAGAGTTGCTTACTCTTCTTTCAAAATGATGGTTACAATAAAACTTGGAACATTTCAGATTATGACGATGATAAATCTCGAAACGTTGGATTAAAACAGGAATTAAATATAATATAAGTGCTAATCAATAAAGATAGAGAACTGCTAAATACTGTTACACATCGTAAAATGTCTTATCTGGGGACATATAGTAAGGGGATGTCGATATAAAATATTACAGTTAATCCTTAAAGGCAAAATAGAGGGCCGTAGAGGTGTAGGAAGAAAACAAGTTTCTTGCTTAAAAATTAAAAAACATTCGTGAATGGACTCAGATACCAAATGCAGGACAATTATTCCATATTACAGAATACCTAGAAGCCTTCGCAATGGTGATCGCCAACGTCGAATAAGTCTGATATGGCACGCGAAGAAGATTAGTGCTAATCGACAACGCAGAAAGAATACGTTGGGGATATCTGTGTTTGAGGGATATTTAAATGTACAGACAGAAAATGTTAGAGACGAGAAAATAAATGAAAGTTACTAAACCACCACACGAAGTAATAGTGGGATTGATTAAGAACGGAGGAAAATCTATAATAAATACTTTGCACACTCTTTTCAATCAAATATTACAAGCGAAAATGGTCATAATAAACTGGAACCCATAAAATATAATAATTACGTATCTATCAAAATCCATAGGAAGATCTCCCGTACGATGGTCGGGCCAAATAAAGGACATGACTGGTTACTCATTCTCCGAAGCAAAACAACACGCACAGGAGAGAGATAATTGGACAGAAATAGTCAAATAAATTACAAGACCTATAAAAAATCTTTTACGCATTTTTTGGCCACTCTGACGCTCCTGGCTTGATGCTCCATTCTGTTGGTATTCCTCCAGTGTTTGCGATTATTGCTATTGATTCGTTGTCCATTAGTTTGAGTGGTTCTGCTTGTATATTATGTATTATTGCGGAATAAACTTAATACTGTAATATTCTTGGTCTATCATTTATCTCTTCTTCTAGTTCAAAGGTGTCATCTCTTTGGTCTTTAAATAGTTTTTCTAGATATTCTGTCCACGTTCTTATTTTACTCTGTCCAAGATGATGTTTCCGTCAGAATCAGTTATATTTCCTTTCTGCCTTCGTCTTAGTCCCCTGTGAGTTCTTTAACTTTCCTATGTACATTGTGACTATCGTACTTTGACTTTTTCTTCAAGTTCAGCTGCATCCAAACCAGTCACGGAGATTGCGCAGCCACGAGATTTTATGTCTTCCTACGCTTCTTCTGCCTTTGATTTTACCCTGCATTATATTCCTTAGTAGTTCGTATTTTTCACCTCTCATGATGTGCTCCAAGTATTCCAATTTCCTGATTTTTATGGAATTTAAAACTTCGCATTGTTCTACTAGTTGTTCGAGAACTTGTTCGTTTGTTTTGCGATTTGTACTTTGACTACACAGTCTCAATTTCTTCGCATCTTTTCCTTGCTTCTTTTTCTTTCGCTTCTCTGATTTTCGTTCTTATTAATATATTTATAGTTTTTATTTGTTTTGGTCATTTTTGGCTTCTCTTCTTCGTCCATTAGTTTCAGGATCTCATCTGTCCCCAATAATTTCTGTCCCCAATTTTGAACCCCCTATAGTAATACCCTATATCAGGGGTGCTCAAACTTGAACTGCTGGCGATCTACCTCAATATTTTTAGACTACTTACGATCGACTCTGAGAGACTGCAAGTGTGTGTGATGCAGGGTTGTCGTACATACACGATACACCCTACCTACCTAGGTAGGGCGTACCGTAGCATATATAGATATTAGCTTTCTGCACAATATAGGTACATTATTTTAGTCAAGGTTTGGGTTAGGTTTAGTTAGGTTCTTCTCTACAATATCATGAAAAAACTCATAGTTCATTCAAACTCATTCAAAATTGCGGGTTTATTTGTTGTTACAAAACAAAAGAGTTACATATGGTGTTAAACTTAACTAAGGAGTGGCTTTGGATGTTGAAGCGTGGCACTGCATGCCCTCAGCATACTTTTCATAAGATACGTAACCAGTGAGTGCTAATCGCAAGCATGATGTCATATGATCGTCAGTTAGTCGATTGCGATATTTTGACTTAATTATCTTCATTTCAGAAAATGCAGACTCGCACAAGTAAGTTGACCCAAAAAATGCCGTCAGTTGAAGGGCGATTTGCCTTACATTCGGATATTTATCTTCAGATATAAAACGACAGAAATTTGTATCAGATACTGTAGCTTTGAGATTTATATCTGATATAATCTGCACCAACTCATTTTCAACAGAACATGAGTTCATATTAAACTGACTTGCTATTTCAGTAGCTAATTCGTCAATGTTTTTACATGAAAAAGGATAACTCATAAATGATGCTATATTTTCCAATTTTACTGCAATCATAAAAACGCATTTCGAATTGTCCCAAAATATTTGATAATTCAGCCTCATACGTATCATAATTCAACTGAGGAATCCTTGCTTTCAAAGACGGAAAATGTTTCAGATCCTTTCTTTTCAGTTGATCTATCATAAGTTTCAATTTACTTTTGAATGCGTTTACTGCGCTAATCATCTCAATAATAGTTTTTCCTTTACCTTGAAGCTCCAAGTTAACGGTGTTGAAGTGCATTGTGATGTCAGTCAAAAATGTCAAATCATTTAGCCATTTTTCGTTTTTCAAAATCTGAGTGTCATCACCTCTTTCGTCTAGAAAAGCTGTTATTTCGGGCAATAATTCTTGAAACCTTTCTAGAATTTTCCGCGACTCAACCACCTGACGTCCGTGTGAAGAACTAAATCAGTGTGTTCAACCGACTCCCTATCTTCCAACTGCAACTGAAAGAGCCGCCGTTGCAAGCTACGTGCACGGATGGAATTCACAATTTTTGTTGCAATGCCCATAATTTCCCTCCGTGTTTAAAACTTTTGAACACAAAACTTGTTGATGTATAATGCAATGGAATGAAAAAAATGAAGGGAATTCTTCATTAGCTCGACACAATGCCACAAAACCGTTTTTGTTTCCAGTCATTGCTGGTGCTCCATCGGTTGTAATGCACATTAATTTATATATTGGTAGCTCGTAGTTTTTTTACAAAATTTAAGAAAACGTCATATATATCTTCGCCACGAGTCTCCCCCTTCAGAGGAATGATTGTAAAAAATTCTTCCTTAGCCAACATGTCATTGAATACCATCCGAATAAAAATACACAGCTAGGCAGTGTCTGTCATATCGATGGATTCGTCGATCTGTAAAGAAAAGTATGTACATTCCATGATATCATGTTTTAGTTTATCTGCGATGTCTTGACTCATGACTTCAATACGCCTTGTGACAGTCGGACGAGATAACTGAAGTTCTCTAATAGCAGACATGATTTCTGTTTTATTTTTAAAATCTCCAAATAAAGTCTCACCCGCTTCAATAAATGCTTTCTTCACCACCGATCCATCTTCAAATGGTTTCTTGTGTTTCGCCAAAATATGAGATATTTTAAATGACGCGATCGTAGCAGCTTTTGATTGTTTGGCTGGTCTTGTGAACATGGATTGTTCTTTTTTCAAACAAGATATCAAATCACTTACTTTTCGTTTTCTTAATTCACTCTGTGGCGGAAAATCCTTTTCATAGTTTTTATGAACCGTTTTAGGATGCCTCTCTAAGTTACCATGCTTAGGTATTGCAACTGACGCACGACAAATAACACAAATGCACTTATCCTTCACCACAGAAAAGAAAAATTCTTCCTCCCAATCCTTATTAAAATGATTCGTTTTAGATTTCTCCACTGCACTCATTTTCCACTATTTAATAATAAACTTTGTATCGACGTAGGATCGCTATCAAGTTACAATTCAGAATATCTCCAATTCCTGCAGGCGCAACATTTATATCGGCGTGAACGAAAATCTCGAATGTTCTCGTCAAACGCGCCGCCCGAAACTAGACTGTACTGTCTCTCGTCTAGAAACAACACGGCTTTTCTTTGACAAGTGCCGCGCGTTCCTTTGATAAAGCCACCTTTTGCCGTAAGCAGTGTTATTTTATTACGTAATACATTTTTGTAGTTGATAGAATATCGTCCCAAATTTGATTAATAATTATAATAAATATTGAATTAATAAAATAATTAGTTAATATATGTAAATATAAAATATGCTGTGTGGACAGTATTTTGTTGTCCCCACTTCTTTGAATTGCAATGATGCTTAGTCAAGCATTCTATGTATTTGTATAGTTCAGTATTAATAAAAACGTTTAACTCTGCTGACAGTAGTTTAGTTACCTACCTACTTATTAAAATTTTTTTTCTTCTCGAGATCTACCCAAAAAGCACTCGCGATCGACCGTTTGAGCACCCCTGCCCTATATGGTAGGCAAAATATTTCGTTACAGTTTCAATGAGTAATGTTGACTTCATTGTACGTTTGTTAAATAATGAAAAGTAGTTATTTACTTATTGTGATAAAACAAATAAGAGGAGCTATAAAATGATGATCTTATGATCTTAGGATAAATGAACTTATTTATACCTTATTTTATAGGTTATTTATAGGTTTTGGTGTACTTACCAAAATTTTGAACTTCATTTCTTTCTTCTCCGACATGGGAATAGGCAAAGATTTTATCCGCATGATCTCCTCCCATGCGGTCTGCTCATTTGACCTCATTTCCGATAAATCTGGCAGCATAGATACCTTAGAAATAAAGACAGTTGCAAATAGAATTTAGTAAAAAAAAATTAAAAAGGTGCTCTAATTTAAAATATGACTTGGGTATTTATTTACCCAAAAATTTGGAGTAACAGTTCCGTGAAAAGGAAATAGAGGGAAAGATAGCAGAATATTCCATATTACCTGTACTTCTCCTGCAAGTGAAGTTCTTCGATGAACTGTCGATTCCCTGCGGGATCTGCACCTAAGCGTCTTGTTATTCGTGCGGTAGTCATTTGTTTTTATGCGGATCGTGGCTGCAGCTGCAACAAAAAGATAAGGTAAAGAAATGATATGTAAAGTCATTTAAAACTTAAAAAAGGCATTAAAAAAAAAGAAATTAAGAATAATAGAAACACTCTACTAACGAACTGCTTTCCAACGATTTAGCCCAGGGAAATAAGCATTTTTTCATGACACTCGTCCGGAAAGGCAAATGACAGTTGTTTTGAGTAGTATGGACCTCTGTAACTAAACCTACAGATTGAACCAAATTAAAACGGAACATACAATTTAATACATGTCTGTTTGAACTGCATTTGAAATAGTGGACCAATATAAAACTTGGACAAAAATAAATCCATACCTGGGTATAGACATTGTATAAAATATCGTTCAACTATCCGTCTCGCAACAAAGTTGTTTGCGTAAGACGGGTTGTCTAAGGAGGCGATAATAGTTCAGGAAGTGCTCGAAAAAAGTTAAAACCTCGCAATTTTTTCGTCCTGCATGTATCCAGTTGAAATTTTAGCAGAAGGTAGGTAATAGCCCGAGGATCAAAATCTATATCGAACCGAAGTGCGCTGAAGAGTTTTAGGGGTGAAAACTACCCCTAATTGTCAAAAATTATAAAATAACATATTAAACCTGAATATGGGTAAGATTTGGTTTGAATTAGTTAAATAATGATTACTTTATACTTTTGAATAGAGTTCCATCATATTTCAACCCTTAAAAAGCAACCCTTGTTAGAGATTAATGTAAAAAATTACTAATTCTAAAAAAATGATTTCGCCTTGGATCGATTTGGATAAAAATTTGGAATTAAGCTCAACTCACCCTCTGCTTTATAGTTTATGTCATGCCGATGAACCCTGATTGTTCTTCGGGGTGAAAACTACCCTTAATTTTAAAAAATTGTAAAATAATATTACAAATCTTAAGATGAGTGAAATTTGGTTTGGATTAGTTAAATAGTGAGTTTTTTATACTTTAAAATACAAATTCATACATTTTCAACCCTTAAAAATCAATTGTTATGAGTGCTATAGGTGAAAACAATTTTTTGCCAAAATTTTGCAACTTTTCAACTTTTGAAAATCACCCTTTACAACATTGCAGTTTTTATAAACTAATTTATAAGATGTTAAATTGAAAAAAGTAGAATTAAATACAAAAAAAATTATCAACATAAAAAGGCACCATATATTCTTATACATTTACTTAAATAGTTGAAAATATTTACATTTATAGGTAAAACAATTATAATATTAATTTTATTCGTCATCAATTACATCTTCATCGTGATCTATGTCATCCTCATCTTCTTCAATTATTGGTGGACTGTTATTGCACCCTTCACCTGAGCACCCAGAACAAGTAGAGTTACAGTATAAACCAACTTTTCTGCACCCATATGAAACGCCGCATCTTTTTTTGCATTGGCAAAAAATAATTTTCAAAAATTTATCGGGTGCAGAGGTTGTTTGTTCATGCGTACGGGTAATAACAAACCATCTTTGGAATACCATCCCCAATCTGTTGCTCTGATATTTTCATTGCCAAGCCATAGACATATGAGCAGATGTTTTATTCTGTTGTATGGGATTTCAAAATAAAAACGCTTAAAATTTCGAATGTATAACGCTCCACTAGCTAATATACCGGTTTTGTAGATTATTATGCTCCGAAATGTACTGTACTATACTAATGAAATTTTCCGGAAAAAAATTACCTGGTTTTTTTTAACGTATTTCCTTTAATTTTTAACGATAGAGTGTTTCTTCAAAAACAATTTGTAGAGGTTTTTAATAGCTACAAGGATCTGTAAATTAATATCTTTTTGGAACCCTTGGTTTTTAAATGGGGGTAAGTTTAAGAGGCTTGAAAAAGATGGTGCTTGATCGTCAATCGATGCTTTAAACGGCTATATCTCTCCAAATATTCATTGTACAACAAATCTAAATAAAGGATAATTTTAGTCATTAAAAAAAGCTACAATTTGGTTATTTTAATTTTTTTCATATATTCAGTATTTTCGGGGATATTTAAAAAAAGAAGGGTAAAAAATATGAAATTGTAAATCGTTTCTCTCTTTTTCTAAAACTAAGCATTTTAAATGGGTCAAACTTCTTGGACGTATTAACAATACATCTACAAAGGGAATTGCAGAAGGGTGAAGATCGATTTTAATTATGGGGGTGGTTAGGGTGTTGTTTTCCTCAATTTTTTCGTAAAAAATGAGGTATTGACATTTTTTTATGATAGGTCTATTTATGCTCTTTAAAAAGGTTTTGTGAGTTTTCTTCCAAAAATGCATTATTTTCCCGATATTTGACTTTGAATCTTTCAAATTTGGCATTTGAAGAAAACCGCTGAACATTGATATTGTATTTGTAATTGTATTTGTTTTTTAAAAGCTACAAATTTGTTCTCTACAATTTTTTTGATAAAATGCACCATTTTCGAGTTATTCGCGAAAAATCGATTAAAAACGTGGATTTTTTCGTCTAATAGTTGTTACTTTCAATCGCGAATAACTTGAAAAATATCATTTTATAAAAAAAATGTATAGCACATTTTTGTTTAGAATCACTTTTCTAATCGAAACCTGTAGTTAAAACGTAAAAAAAAAATTTCACCCCAGAGATGGGGTGGCAACCACCCCCTAGGCTTTGGCGCACTCTGGTTCGATATAGATTTTGATCCTTAGGCTATTACCTACCTTCTGTTAAATTTCAAGCCAATCCACGCCGCACGAAAAAATTGCGAGGTGAAATGCTACATTTCCTGGACTATAACTGGTTTGACAGCATAATAAAATCGTAGATTTATGTGTAGCTTTCAATTTTTATGAGTTCAGAATCCAGCAGCCCGCTGAAGTATGGGATTTTTTATAATATAATTATTTGACAATCTTTTGTTGGCCAACCAGCTACAGCAGAATTGAGCCGAAATACATTATATTCCTATGTTCCGAATTTATTTCGTTCAATCTGTATATGTTTCCTGCAGTCGATTTTTTGTACTTAATTAGTTATTAACAAATTAAGGTCAAAAAACGGAAAAATTTTTACTTTTTTCGTCTATCAGCAAAAAGTGAAGCAATTTAAACAAAATTTTTGAAGAGAAGAAACTTATAAGCTATATAAAAAACCTTCAAAATGGCGTTTTCAAAATGTTTCTATCCTAATTTGTTGCTTAGAAAGTTGCAAAATAAGTCAAAATTTTCGGTTTTTTATAAATGTTAATAACTTTTTTGAAAATAAACTTATAGTATTTATATTTCATGGAATGATGTGTCTTGTAGTGTTTAAAATAGGGTCAAAATTTCAAAGTGATCAGTCCAATAGTTTAAAAGTTATTCTATTTGTTTATCCCAAATTAACATTTATTGCAACAATATAAGTCAAAAATTTATACAGTTTTAGTAATTCTAAGGGTTATTTCTGGTAGAAGAAGACTTGTTTTATTATTTGCATTAAAAAAAATTAAGAAAATTAATTTTAAATATTGCAAAATAATTTTGCAAAAACATGTCAATTTTTTGCTTATAAACAATTAGAATAACTTTTTACCCATTGACTGTAAAAATATTATTTTTACATATTTAAAAAGCTTGAATTTTTTCACAAATTTAAATAAAAAAAAGTTTGTCCTAAGATAATTTGGTACAAAGTTAGCCTCTTTTTTTATTTAATTCATAGCACCTTTGTTTATAACAATTTAAAAATCTAATTAGCGCTATTTGAAAGAACGTACATTATAGTTTTAAAGTACTAAATTTTAAAATTATTGCATTTTAATGGAATCCTCCACAAAGCTTCAAAATGTATGTAAAATCAGTCGGCTTTGAAACTCACGGGAGCTGAAGGAGGGGGAAGGCGCTGTTAACTGTATCTCTGTCCTTTTTTTATGTATTTCAACGTTTCTATTTGAACTTGTATGTACTTTTTGCGTAGATTACGAATGTGCATTATTTCAATAAATAAATTGTCAAATAAACCACCTAATTTGTTTAAAAACAATTTTTTTAATTTTTTTTAGTATAGTACATATTTAAGTTAAGTTTTAATGTAAAACTTAACAACTAAACATAAAAAAAAGGACAGAGATACAGTTAACAGCGCCTTCCCCCTCCCTTCAGTTCCCGAGAGTTTCAAAGCCGAACGATTTTACATACATTTTGAAGCTTTGTAGACGATTCCATTATAGGGCAATATTTTTAAAATTTAGTACTTTAAAACTATAAAGTCTATTCTTTCAAATGGCGCTAATTAGATTTCTTAATTGTTATAAACAAAGGTGCTATGAATTAAATAAAAAAAAGAACCTATCTTTATACTAAATTATTTTAGGACAAACTTTTTTTTATTTAAATTTGTGAAAAAATTCAAGCTTCTTAAATATGTAAAAATAATATTTTTACAGTTAATGGTTAAAAAGTTATTCTAATTGTTTATAAGCAAAAAATCGACATGTTTTTGTGAAATTATTTTGCAATATTTAAAATTAATTTTCTTAATAAAACAAATCTTCTACCAGAAATAACCCTTAGAATTACTAAAACTGTATAAATTTCTGACTTATATTGTTGCAAAAAATGTTAATTTCAAATAAACAAATAAAATAACTTTTAAACTATTGGACCGATCACTTTGAAATTTTGACCCTATTTTAAACACTACAAGACACATCATTCCATGAAATATAAAAACTATAAGTTTATTTTCAAAAAAGTTATTAACATTTATAAAAAACCGAAATTTTTAAATTATTTTGCAACTTTCTAAGCAACAAATAAGGATAGAAACAAGTTTCCTCTCTTCTAAAATTTGTTTAAATTGCTTCACTTTTTGCTAATAGACGAAAAAAGCAAAAATTTTCCGTTTTTTGACCTTAATTTGTTAATAACTAATTAAGTACAAAAATCGACTGCAGGAAACATATAGGTTTTAGTTACAGAGGTCCATACTACTTAAAACAACTGTCGTTTGCCTGGCCGGACGAGTGTCAAAAACAGAGTATTTTTTTTGCTTATTTC